AGCTTGAGCCAGGAATGGTTGTATGTGACAATGGCAGCAACCTTCTTTCCGCTCTTCAACAGGGAAAGTTAACACATGTACCATGCTTGGCACACATCCTCAATTTGGTGGTGCAGCATTTCTTAAACAGGTACCCAGGGCTGCAAGATCTTCTGGGGTAGGCCAGAAAAGTCTGTAACCATTTCAGGCACTCATACCCAGCCAGTGTTCGTCTGGCTGAAATTCAACGGGAATTCAACCTGCCCACAAACAGTCTCATTTGTGACATGCCCACCAGGTGGAACTCCACTTTGGCAATGCTGCAGTGGTTGCAGCAGAGGGCCATCAACGAGTACCAGTGTGAGTATGGCACAAGAACAGGCTCAGGGGACCTTGGCTTTTTTTCCCCCCACGCCAGTGGCTGGTGATAAAGGATGCATGCACTGTACTGTCACCATTTGAGAAGGCGACAAGGATGGTGACCCGTGACAATGCATGCATCAGTGACACCATCCCTCTTGTGTTCCTGCTGGAGCATACTCTACATGGAATTATGGATAGGGCACTTGAGGCAGAACAGCGGGAGGAAGAGGAGGATTTCCTTTCCTCTCAAGGCCCCCTTTATGCAAAAACCATTCCTGCGCGGCAGCAGAACACACACGAGGAGGAGGAGGATTATGGCAGCTTTGGAAGCATTGAAGCAGAAAATGACTTACGGCAGTTCTCAAGGGAGGGTTTTCTGTCCCCAGAAATCCAGGGAGTAGTACGTGGCAGGGAGGAGGTAGTTCATGATAGCGTTATCTTCAGTGACCCTGAAGACTCTGATTCTCATGCCTCCTCAAACTTACAGTGCATGGGCTCCCTTATTCTGCAAAGCCTGCAAAACGACCCGAGGATTCCTGGTATCAAGGAGAGGAATCATTTTTAGTTGTCGACCCTTCATGATCCATGTTACAAGCGTAAAGTTGCAGAGCTCATCCTGCACACACAGGAGGAGCGCAGGATGAAACTTGTGGACGCGTTGAAGCGAAACTTGTGTAACACCTTTCTAGACACTGGTAGGTTACCATTTCATAAGGGAGGTATTTCTGAGGTGTCGGTTGGTCAAAGGAAGGGAGCCCCCTGACTGATGTCTTTAAAAAAATATTTAGTCCTTAGCTCCCAGGGCTGTTAGCTTTAGGCACCCATCTGCAGTGTCTGCATCATATGGTGCAGGATTACCTAAGGGCAAGAGCAGACATGAAGAGCTTTCCAGCGAACGATCCACTGGCTTACTGGGTCTTGAGAATGGATCACTGGCCAGAACTTACCCAATATGCAATGGAGATACAGGGCTGCCCTGCATCCAGCATGCATTCCGAACGGACATTCAGTGCTGCAGGAGGTTTTGTGACAGAAAAAGAGTGCATCTGTACACAAACTCTGTTGACCGGCTGACATTTATCAAAATGAATCAGTCCTGGATCAGCAGCAGCTATCAATCCCCTGAAGCAGATGTAAACGATTAAATTTGTCAGAGATCTGGGATCTCTGGAAGACTGCCTGGGCTGCCTAACTTTGTGGGTGATTATTCTATCTTTAAGTACTGTTTTTGGTTTAGTGCACCACCAACACCCAAGGCCCAATTTTTCCGCACCTGCATGTGACAGGTGCTTATAATTTCAATTTCTTGCAATATTTATTTTTTATTTTTTACAGCAGGGCCATCCCTGCGCTTGCCAAAAGTAACTGTAACTGTCAGTGTTCAGGCACCACCAATGGCCCAATTTTTCCACACCCGCTTGTGACAGGTGCATGTAATTTAAAAAATGTTAAAGCAGGGTGAGGGGTTACAGTGTGCAGACAACACCAACACCCAAGGCCCATTTTTTTTTTGGGCACCTGTGTGATATATAATTGTGTGCATATAATTTGATTTTTTTACAGCAGGGTCCATTCCTGAGCTCACCAAGAGTAACTGTAAGGGTTTAAAGTGTGGAGGCACCACCAAAGCTAAAGGCCCAGTTTTAAAGCACCTATTGTTACTTTCATTCAACACCTGCAATAGAGGCACCAGAATTTATCTTTAAAAATCTGTAACCTTGTTCCAAGTGTCCTTAAATGTGGCCCCTTCATACAGGCTGCCTCCACAAGCAGTTGCTTACAAGATTAAAGGAGAACTATGGGGTTAAGTCTTTTCCCCATAGTTCTCCTTAGGGTAACGGGAGGACACAAACTAGCGTCCTCCTGTCACCCTAGGCTCAGTATACCGTGAGCTGTGGCTCGCGGTATACTGAGACGTCCCAGTATACCACGAGCTGCTGCTCGTGGTATACTGAGACGCCGCAGCTGAAGCGGATCCCGACAATTATGTCTGGATCCGCCCAGCTGCGTGACTAACAGCTGGCTCTGCCTATCCAGAGGCAGAGCCAGCTGTATCCGCCCCCTCCCCCGTCCGTTCCGCCAGTCAGCACTGGCGGATCGGAGCGGAATCCAGCCCCTCCCCTGTCACGGCAGAGTGCCATGACAGGATCGAGAGGTGAGCGAACGCCGGTATGTGTTCGCTCACCTCCTGATCTACTGAGCCGACCTGTGACAGTCTCATTGTCACAGGTCGGCTAGAACTAATGAGGTGAGTGAAAAGCACTCACCTCATAGTTCTCCTTTAAGGGAAAACCAATTACCGGCAATTTAAATATATTTTTTTCTTTATAAATGTCACTTTTTGCTGCAGCAGGTTCTATACATTATACAGATCCGCCACTTTACAGGCAGTTTTAGGGAACCCCCAGGCACATATCGGAGGAATATGGAATTTTTCATAAAATGATATGTCAATTTTGTTGAGCTTTATCTCTAAATGCCCTAAGTCAGAAATTAAAGATGTTTTTTTTCTCTTGAAGAAAACTGCTAAATTGTAAACTCTGTTTCATTCCGGTCTGCTGTGGCAATAAGTATTGCAGAAGTTTTGTAAAGGTCAGAATTGCTATAGCAGATACTATAACTGGTGCCTGTTGCCACTCAAAAACGTGGTGGCAGTTACTGTTTGTGTAAATGATTAACTGTGGAGTTAACCGACCACGGTGACGATCACTCTCATTTGACCAGCACTTTGATTGTTATCCCGCGAGCTGGAAAATCTCTCTTCACTGTGAGACTGGGATTGCATCCGCTTTGATGGCCCCCTATGTATCCCCTTCATACTGGAAAGAGAAACTGAGAACATAGAGTCCTCAGTCTTCTACTCCCTTGGCACCCAGTAGAGCACTAAACTCAGAAGTGATTACGAATAAGCACATTTGATTCAATTTTACTCTGCAAGAGACAGGTAAACATTATGGTAATATTTACTGATCTTAGTGCTCAGCATCCTGAAAAAGATGGAAATGAGACAAGCAGGAAGAAAGAGAGCTGATTTTATTGCAAGCAATGTAAACAAACCTGCAGCAGCTGGGTGGGGGAGTGCAAGAACTTTATAAATAGATGTGATCTGCAGCTTGTTAGCCACCAGTCACATTCATTAATAATTCCACTCAGTCCTTGTTATCACTTTTGATGGAAACCTAATAGGGTTTACAATGTACAACATACTGTATATAAAGTAGCAGAACTTTCTAAAGCAGGTATGCTTATTAGATCAGGGCCCCCTCCGTCTTTATAAATTGCTACATATTGGAATGGTAATAATGTACCTGAAGAAAAATGTTATATACTATAATACAGGTTAAACTCGAAAAATTAGAATATCGTGCTAAAGTTCATTTATTTCACTAATGCAACTTAGCCGTCTTCCAGGAGATTTTGGAGCACTTCATGCTTTCTTCCGCAGACGAGCTCTAGGGGATGCTGACTTCATATTCCAGCAGGACTTGGCACCTGCCCACACTGCCAAAAAATTTCTGAGATTGTGGATCTGGGTTTTCATGAGCTGTAAGCCATAATCATCACAATTATGACAAACCACGGCTTGAACTATCTTGCTTTGCATGTAATGAGTCTATCTCATATATTAGTTTCACCTTTTAAGTTGCATTAGTGAAATAAATGAACTTTTGCACGATATTCTAATTTTTCGAGTTGCACCTGTATATACTAACGATACCTCCGTCTTCCACCCATGGAACCTAGGAGAGGGTAACAGCACAATCCTTCCAGGTGGAATAATGAGAATTCCAAATATCATGAGGAAATGCTCTTACACTGGTCTGGACTGTCTTCCCCTGGTATTTGGGGTATTCATTGTTCCCCAGGAAATTCACCAGGAAATTTGCCAGGACGTAACACCCTGTAATACAAAATACTTAGGGTTAGGGTTTCTTGCTGGTACATTTTTGCCCTTCTAATTTATAGTGATTTATACAGGGAGAGAAGACCCTGATCTAATAAGCAGACCATGCATTTTACTACAATGTCTACTTTAATAAGATGTCTGCAAATATCAACTTCTCTGGCTTGAAACTCCAGCCTGCTGCTTTCAATTCCTTCATCCTGATGAAAGCTCTTGTATTGGCCTTTGAGGTGCTGTCATTGGATAGTGCTTGTGAAAGGTTTAGGGGCAGATCTCCAAGGAAGAAAGCTTGAGCCCTTTAGTAAGTGTAAAGCTGGTCATACACCTATAAATTATCTGCAGATTTTCTATGGTCAGATGGAAAAAGTGCAACAGATTCCTCTATCTATGCTAAACTGTGTGGATAGAGGAATCTACCACTAGGCCGAGCTTCAGTATCTTGCTAGTTGGCCCAGCTGGCTGTCAAAATACCTGAACAATCTGATTGAATGCAGGCTTTGTTCAGGTATTTTGAGAGCCTGCGGGGACGACTAGCAAGATAATCTATAGGTGTATGGCCAGCTTTAACCTGAGACTGAAGTGGTTCCCCAGGTGCACTGATGGGAACTTTGGTGCAAAGATGCCTTTTATATGTTGTAAAATGTGGAAGTTTTAATTTAGTCTTTGTGTTCTTTGTAACATGTACTAAAACATCAACCAACTGCATCAAATAAATCTCTTACTTTTTATACTAATGTTTTCTTCTTTGTTTAAGAAGGACTGTCACTTAACCAGAAGACATCACTCCTTTATTATCAAACAACATACAGAGGCCCAATACATTGTGTTTACTACATATTGAGGAAGGAAGGTTTCACTGGAATGTATCGTGGAGCCGGAGCAATGATTCTCAGAGATGTTCCAGGTTACTGCGTATACTTCATTCCCTACACATATATTTGTAAGTGGCTGACACTAGAACATCACAGCACTCCAAGCGCTTTCTCTGTGTGGCTGGCAGGTGGCATTGCAGGTATGCATTTTCTTTATTCTTTGTAACCATATAGTCATTCATGTTTTACAGTGGACCCTACTGCACAGTTGTATAAAAGTTTGGGCAACCAAATATTTGTTTGTATCACAACTGATTTTCTGCTAGTACAAGTCAATGGAAAAGGCAAAGTAAAGCACCTCAGAAGAATGTCATAACTAGTGTTGGGCTAGATGTTCGAGTTGACAAAGAGTTTGACTCGAACATCGCTAGTTTGTGTGTTCAGTGAACACACGAACTATAAGGGCGTTCGGCGGGCCTTGTGAAGCTCTGATTGGCTAAAGCCTTGCACCTGACCACAGGTCAGGTGCAAGACTTTGCCCAATCATGGCACAGTGCACTGAAGAGCCATGATTGGGGAAAGTCATGATGACTTTCCCCAACCATGGCTCACCTATCAGATGTCGCACAACTGTAAACAGTATAGAACTGTATAACATGGCTTTCTCTCCCGGCAAACACTGCCAGCTCTCCCTACCTACTCTATCAATAGGGTTGCCACCTTTTCTTCAAGTGAAACCCGAACACTCTAGCGACGCACGGACATTTTTTGTTGTGAGAATGAGTCGTGGCTTTTTTATATGTAAATAGCACCACCCTTTTATATGTAAATATCGCAGTAGCCCCTATCTTAATTTTGGTTGCCCCTGTCTGCCTGACATCTTGTGTCCGGGTTTCTGCTGCCATGAAACCCGGACACAGCATTCAAAACCTGAACTGTCCGGGTGAATCCTGGACAGGTGGCAACCCTATCTATCACACACTGATGAAAGACTGCTGTGCACCCTGCCTTTTATAGTGAGGGGGCTGAAACATATGAAAACCTCTATTATTGACCCTTCTTCCAGTTCAAAGGCCAGGAAGTGCATTATTAGTAATTGGTTGCTATAGTGGCGTATGGCCACATGGCTAGGTTCACCTGGAGTCCATGCTCTACCCAAAAGTAAAGCTCATCCCTATTTAAACCATTTAACCATCAAACAATGAAAGATAATTGGCTGTTTTGGATCACTACATGTTTTACGTTAAACTAAAAAAGAAACTTATTACCCTAAGCTCAGTATACCGCGAGCTACAGCTCGCGGTATACTGTGACGCTGCAGCCAGAGCGGATCCCGACCTGGACGTCGGGATCCGCCCAGCTGCGTGAGTGACAGCTGGCTCTGCCTATCTGCCTATGAGTGGAAATCACTCATCTCATAGTTCTCCTTTAAGTAAATGTAGATGTGCTTTAAGCTAGGATTTAGCTTATCATATTTCTCCAAATGCATAGATTTGCTTTCTCTTTAATCGGTCTTGTTCACATATCACAAGCAGCTATGTATACTGAAACAGACAGCTAACTACCGTCTTCCTGCTATTGAATAACCACACTGTGTCAGCGGTTGTCATTAAAATCAAACATAATCATGCATGGCTCAGCATCATGTCTTCAGTTATGGATATAATCAGGGGCGTCTTTAATACTGAGTCGACCCTGGGCAAACTATTTCTTGCCCCCCCCCCGGGCCTAACAGCAGCATACTGTTGTGCTTGCTGGACCACGTGTCTATGTAACGCTCCTAATTCAACGGTTAGGATCTCAACTGCGGAGTTTTGTAACATTAACTTTTACCCACCTGGGTAGTGAGGTTTTGGGTCTATAGGTTAATCAGTATGTATCCCAGGCGGCTCTCTCAGACTCAATTCAGAGAGTTAGGAATTGTTAACATCATACACCTCTCCCTAACTATAAGGTTAATGTTAATTAATCTAGGGCAGTCCTCAAGTGAAGTTTAGTAATGCAGCAGCAAGCATCAAGCAAGCATCAAGTGAAATGATAATGCGGCAGTTCAATTAAGTATACCACAGGGGCGGATCCAGAGTCTATTCTCGGGAGGGGCACTGCCAGAAAATAAAGTAGATCCCTGGATCCAGACAAGCCCAGCCTCCTGTCTCCCACGCTGTCAGAAACTGCATACAGAGTGTGCTGGTTACTACCTGAGGCCCTGTTCACATATAGCGACATACCTTTGCAGCGGCCGGGATAGCGCGACTTTCAAGGCGACGTTCCAGCGACGATCCAGCGACGGTAGCGCGACCTTCTCCGTCGGGCTCCATAGAAAAAAAGCAAAATCGCGCAAAATCCGCCGAAAAAAGGGTCCGGTAGAAGCGACTTGCGACCGCAACGAGCGACGCGCGGCATGGAGTTAAGGCAGCTCCATTGAATAGCATTGGCCGGCGACTTCTCGCGCGACAAGTCGCTATTTGTGAACGGGGCCTAAACCGGCGCGCTGTGTGCAGCTTCTGAGAAGAAACGCTATTAGCATAGCGAGGAAGCCGGCTGCGCATTTTGCATCACTCACGCTACGCTAATAGCGTATCTTCTCAGAAGCTGCACACAGCTTGGCCGTTTAAGTAGTAACCAGCACGCTCTGTAGGCAGCTTCTGACAGCGGGGGAGACGGGAAGCTGGGCTTGTCGGTGGATCCAGGCATCAGGTGAGTATTAAAAAACAAAAATGTTTTATTTTATGTTCCTGGGGACATGTAGGGCTCATTCACACTGGAATCGGCCGGCACGTACAGCTCCGTGCTGCGTGCACAGCCGTATCGGGCAGCTCCCGGGAAGGACAGGTGCTGCGTATGATTAGTATGCAGCCCCTGTCCTTCTCTATGGGTGTATGCAGCCGTACACCCCCCTACGCTCACCCGCCCAGCACGTCCGTACGGGTGCATGTTTCCTTGCTCGGACGCAGACAGGATCCATCCTGTCAGCATACGGGTACGCTCACCTGCACCGATGTACAGGATGGGTGAGCGCAGGGCGGCGTACGGCGTACGGCCACGTAGTCCCATAGAGAAGAATGGGGGCTGTGTACTAATCACATGCAGCACCTGTCCTTCCCAGGAGCTGCCCGATACGGCCTTGCACACAGCACGGAGCTGTACGTGCCGGCCGATTCCAGTGTGAATGAGCCCTCCTCAGGCATCACCTGATGCCTGGATCCACCGACAAGCCCTTAAAAATGTTCCTGGATTTAAAAAAAACTGGTCACCTTACCCTGGTGGTCAGTGGGGGCTCTGGTTGGTAGTGAGGGCTCTCCTGCGCTAAATGAAGCCCCCCGCCGCAGGTGCAATGGTTCCCTCCCTCCACCACCTCTCTGCCACCTGCACCGCTACAGGATCTCTAGATCCACTGGTATACCAGCAATGTTTAAGCAAGCATCAAGTGATAATGTAGCCAGGGCCGGTGCTAGGATTCTTGCCTACACAGGCAAGGTGCATTTTTGCGCCCCCGGCGACTGCCTGAGGTGCCGCACGTGTCGGGATCCTCTGGCAGTCGCCGGCCAGCTAAATTAGGACCCCACCTGGAGCTCCTCCCACTGGACCAGCGCTGACCAGGTAAGTGAAAAGAAAAAAAACATAGCGCAAACATCGGGGCATTTTGACAAGTACTTCCGCCCTCACCCTGCAGCGCCCTCAGGCGGTCGTCTGACTTGCCTTGCAGTAGCGTCGGGCCTGAATGTAGCAGTTCAATGAAGTATACCAGCAATGTTTAAGAAAGCATCAAGTGAAGTAATAATGCAGCAGTTCAATGAAGTATACCAGCAGTGTTTAAACAAGGACCATCTGTCCATAGGATTGCATGGTATTTGGCGTTGGTAGGTAAGACAGAGACTCCTGATACTTGCGGTTTTAGAAGGACCCAGGCTGGGTCGGCGGTGTCCGCGGCTGTTGGGGTTAAAGAGAGAGAGGTCCCGGGTTCCTTGGTTTGCAGGGTCAGGCGGATAGAGCTAGCAGGGCGTACACTCTAAATTAGTGGAACGCCGTGCTAAGCTCCTCTTCCGCATTTGTCGGAGCAGTCGCGTTGGTGGGCAGAGCTGGGTGATGGGCACTCTGTACGTTGCGTTCCACTCTGGAGCGCAAGCCGTGAATGTCGGCAAGGGGATCTGTCTGCTGCGCTCCAGGTGACACGCTATATGACAACATGTTACAGTCTATGACATTATCTTCCATATGCTAAGGGAAGGCATATAAGGAGGGAAGGAATAAGCAAAAAAATGATGCCTGGGTACCTGCCACTGTGCAGCTGCATGGAACATAAATCACAGAAGGGGGCAGAAGGGGGCAACTGTAAAGCCAGCAGTCTGACAAGCTGGCATTGAGACACTGGACATGGGGCTGATTAGGGGACATTTTTTCTTCTGTTCTAGCAGCTAAGGAATAGACACCATGCTAGTCAAGGATGCTGATAGAGATGGTGCAGTGGGGTTACAAATGTTTCAAGTATATCATGTACTGTATAGTACACCTATTGGCAGAAAGAAAAGACAGATGTGCCCTGCCTCTCAAAGGTTCAGCCCACCTTTTCTGCCTCTCCTTTTGCTGTACTGTCTAATATAAATACAGGGGATTGGCTACATTTATTATCAACTATGGCAATATAGGAAATAAAGGTTGATCTGCTGAAAAAGGCGATTTTGCCTGTGTCAGTCAAGTTCACAAAACCCCAAAATAAAAAAAAGTCCCTAGCAAAATTATAATAAATTAAATATTTACCATTTTGACTCCACACCTTAATTATTTTGCATTTTATTTTACATTGGGTGATACAAACTAATATGGAGTTTACCACATTTCAATTTATACTATTGCAGAACAATACAGCACTGTGTATAGCATTGTATAAAGCACTGTATAACAAGGCAATCCCTCCCCGACCTTTCTACTTTAACACACACTGAAAAAAGACTGCTGTGAACCCTGCCTTTATTGTTACATAGTTACATAGTATTTGAGGTTGAATAAAGACATTAGTCCATCAAGTCCAACCTATTAGGATCTCATTCTAGGAGTACCTGTACCCCTGTATATTGCGGTCCCTTAAGAAATCATCCAAAAGTGGCAGTGAGTTCCAGACCCTAACCGCTCTAACTGTAAAGAACCCCCTGCGCCACTTGTGCTGGAATTTTTTTTCCACCAATTAGGTGGTGGCCTCTAG